GATTAAGTATAATATATATTGAAATATATTGTTAATCATTAATATATTAATATTATTAATTATTATTATTATAATATATTAATATATGTATATTAGTATATAATAGTATATTATTAATATATTAGTATATAATATATTAATAATAATATATTAATGATTAACAATATATTTGTAATATATACTAGGTTATATTATTAATATTATATTACATTATTAAATTATTAATATATTATATATTAATAATATTAATATATATCAATATAATTATATCTTAACAATAGGTTAATCTGAAGTACATATACCTGTTACGATAAGAAAAGTAATATAAAATAAATGTTTCCTGTCCTAAACCCTAGTTTCCAACGAATCAGGAAGAATATCTTTCCGACTCTCAGCTTTGAGAGCCGTTATCATCCTCTCGATACAGACGATGATCACCGATAAAAGAAACATGCGTCGAATATTTATCTGACAATAAGCGCTGCCGCTTACATAAGTTTCATAGCAATCGCCTTTCGTAACTTGAGCAGGTCTCGTGTGAACTGTAACATCGACATGAAAATTCGTATAAAAATGTATTATCGCAGAAACGTGATATATCTTGACAAATAAACTGGATTTTTTACATAGTTGATGACTGCAGCAAACATGGCCGATACAAACACTTGACCATTTTTCTTTCTCTCGCTCTCTTTTTGTTTTTTCTGTCTATGTATTTTCTGTCTACTTCCACCTCCATAGTACAAAAAATGAAGATTACGTATGCATGTGATATGAGATTTTTAATTACACACCGATGACATAGCATAAAACGGTCTGCTATTAAGAGGGGGTATAAATACACTCGTGGGCATGTAATCCCAACATTCATTCAAATTCTTGGCCATCTGTACGATAGAAGAGGACGCTTCTTAGGTGTGTATCTCGAGAACTTACCCGCATCGTTATGTTTGATTACGTATATCGAGTTCGATAGAAGCTATTCAAGGAAAATCAAAATATATCGCAATTAATTCAAACGATTTGAAGATCTAATATAGTTATATATTTTATTATTAGGTATTATATATACAGTTTAAATATCTTTAGTTTTCTAGAAAACTATGGTATTATAGTAGTTATTATAACTATTATTATATATAATAATAATAAAAATAATATATAATAATAATATATAATATATTATAAAATAATATATAATAATAATATATAATATATTATAAAATAATATATAATAATAATATATAATATATTATAAAATAATATATAATAATAATACTATTATTATATAGTTATAATACCATAGCAAAAAACTATAATGATATTATAGCTTTCTAGAAAACAGTTTGCAACATATATAACAAAATAATCGATGTTACGCCGAAGCAACGTAGACTTAATTTTATCAAACACACTGCTAGCACATGGAATTTGCAACAGCACCGACGCCGTACGTATAAATGCTGAAACAGTTACCGTTCACCTCTCCATTTTTTAGACTTCTCCAAAATGACGCTTCTCACGCCTCATTGGTGCCTGGATGGTATCCTCATCTGCGCATCCCTCATCTTCGCCGCATACATATATGCCACACGAAAGTTCAAATACTGGGCGAAAAAAGGCATCATGGAAATTCCTCCCACGCCGTTCTTGGGAAATTTCACGGACTGTTTGCTGTTCAAAAAATCGCCCGCGGAATTCCTGAAGGACCTGCACGACCGATCCAAGGGGTTACGTTATATGGGATTCTATGTTCTCGATAAACCGTTCTTCCTCATACGAGATCCTGAAGTAATAAAGCATGTATTGGTGAAGGACTTTCACGTATTCTCCGATAGACACATATCGCCCGATGTGAGTGATCGACTTGGATACGTGAACGTCTTCTTGATGAAAAATCCAGGCTGGAAGATCATCAGATCGAAGTTGTCGCCGTTGTTCACTTCTGGAAGGCTGAAGAAATTGTTCGAATCGATGCTCCAAGTTGCAGATGATCTCGACCAGTTTCTCGAAAAATCAAATTTGGGTGCGTACGTACTGCTCATAAAAAACGTTTTCCACTAGTAGAATTTTCAGAATTAATTTGTTAACGATCGCAGGTCATGTATAAGAACTTCGTCAATGATACAGTCGAAGATCGGTCAGTTGGATGAAGACATAAATCTTATAAACGGCCACAATTTATGTTCGCTTGTGAAATCTTTGATCGCACGTGACCGTCACTTATCGTCACTTACAAGGCAAATAATGAATTCGAGAGTATATCTAAATTTAATTAAACATTTTGTTGAGATTTTTAATCGTCCTTAACAGCCAAAATAGCGAAGCTTTCGAAGACAATTATGGGGTAGAGAAAAAAAAACATCATAGTGCGATACAGAATTTGCAAGAGTGCAGATCCGATATGCAGTAATTTCTCTCTAATTCGCGCTTAGATTGATCAGAAAAATGGACAATTTGGGAAGAGGAGATACGATTATTCGAGCCTTGTGGCTCGTTTTTATAGTTACCGATTGTCAAGAACTGTGAAAACGAGACGCAATGCTCGAATAATCGTATCTCCTCTTCCCAAATTGTCTATTTTTGTGAAGAAAGTGGTTAACACGCCAATTTATTTATTATACACCTCATATTTATGGTGATATATTCGAACGAACGGGATGTTACGAGGATATTTAGAATGCAAAACAGTCGAACTAATAATAATTTTGTTCCAGCTTCATTAATGAAATAACTTTGATGTTACTTAAAAATAAAGTAGACCACAAAGTTTACGTCAACTGAGTTTCATTTGTACTTTGTATTACACGCAAGATGGACGAAGTGAAACGTTACGTCCAATATGTAGATCAAATTGTCAACACAGAACATTTTTGAAGGAATTGTCCCATTTGGTTGCAACATTAAATTAAATTGCACAAACAGTTTATACTACGGTACATTTCTCCCTAATTCGCGCTCAGGTTGCGCACAAAAATGGACAGTTTGGGAAGAGATACGATTATTCGAACCCTGTGTTTCGTTTTTATGGTTATTGACTATCGGTGACTATAAAAACGAGCCGCAAGGTTTAAATAATCGTATCTCCTCTTCCCAAATTGTCTATTTTCGTGCGCAATTTGAGCGCGAATTAGGGAGAAATTATTGTATTAAGTTAAAGTTTTTAAATCTTTGGTCTCTATCATATTCGATGGACATTCGTTTCTTCTATTGCTCGTTAAAAGATTTCATTTCGGGTCAACGCTGTCGCTGTAACCCTTCGCGCACAAATAACAATTCCAAAGCGTTGCTAAAACTAACCATACTCAAAATTTTACGTCCCAGTTCATTGAAAGTAACGGTCGCTGGAATTAAAAGAAATTCAGTGGAAGGGGCTAAAGTAAAATGATTTCATGAAGCAGTGATAAATAACGCTATGTTTCAGTATTACAATTTTCATTACGGTCGTAGTTTAGTTTGCTTTTAGTCTTAGTTCTACCCTCGATTAATTCCAGGTTAGATTTGCGTTCAGTGTTATAATGTTTTGCTATCGTTAAATTTTAATTTTCTCTTGGTTTCAGTTTCATTTAGTCTTAGTTTAATTTTCAGTTTAGTGTATTCATTTTTACTATTGGATTGGATTTTAATTGAAATGTATTACGGCTGGATTAACATCAGTCATCTTCATTCGCAAAAATGTCTCTGTTTCAGGAGCCGGAAAGATCATAGAAATGAAAAATCTTTGCGCGAACGTTACCACGGACATGATCGCTAGTACTTCTTTTGGCCTGCGGGTGAATTCGTTGAACGATCCCAAAGCACCGTTCCGGGAACAGGGCAGGGAAATGTTCAAGTCTACCGTATTTCGCGGGATGGAGCTCCTCATCATATTCTTTCTGCCGGCCTTTACCAAAATCACCGGCGCCAAATTCTTCGGCAAGGAGACTAGCAAATTTTTGCGAACCGTTTTCTGGGACGTGATCGATGAACGAATTAAGTCAGGAGAAAAGAGACACGATCTGATCGATCTTCTGATCGAACTGAGGCAGAAATACGAGGCCGAAGGCGATCTTGGGGGATTTCGTAAGTTATTTCTTCAGCATTTCACCAGTTTTTCGGGCTATAGACATTGCGAAAGAGTTGTCGATTCTGCAAATACAGATAGTTATGCGATTATATTTCCGCGGATTTCAATTAGCACGGAATAGGTATTGCATATCGTGTGGATAGGCCACGAATCTTAATGCAAAGTTAAAATTTTGTCGATCGAACGCAAGAAATGGGAATGAAACGCTTTCTATTTTTAATCATTTTAATAAGTAATGTTTAAACCGTCCGAGAACTAATGGTGACCGACGCGTGATGCTTTACGAAAGTGCTTAACAAAACTGAATTTATTTAAACTTTTCTCCACATTTATTTATAATCTACGCTTGGCTTAACAAATTCATTGAATTATTTTCCTCGAAAGTGTCTCTATAATTCCATCAACGTCAACATAACAGATATGAAACCGGTCAATTTCACCGACATGATAGGTTTAGAGTTAAACGATATATACAGGATGTCCCGTATTTTTCTGTACATGCTTCGGAAGTGTGCTATATTAGTAAACATAATACTGAAATGTTATTATATATAACAAAATGTCCATAAATGTTTTGTTGAGATATTATGACAAAAATAAGAAATGTGAAAGATACGATGAATCCACTGTACAAGAGACAAATTAATTAAAAAAAAATCAACGTCGCCTGCAGTCAAATCGCAAATAATTAATTCAACATCTCGTCGACGTCAAATTTGTGTCAACAAAGGCGGGCATCACTTTTAAATGAAGATATAGGTATATTTAACAGCGTTTAAATCATATTTTGTATGTTTATCATAAATTCTTAACGAAACATTCATGGACTTTTGTTATATAACGTTTCAGAGTTAACGTTAGAACATACTGCCGATATATGAGCCGTTTATTTTGAAAGTGGCATAAGTCACTTTGTTTTTAAGTCGATATATTTAAGGGTTTGCGTTTTAACACGTTTCAAAATATGGATGCTAACTTTCGAGAAGATTTACTTGTATTTGTTATCTCAGGATACTGATATCTTCCTCGGTATAAATGATTTCGTATAAATATTAAAAAATCACCACTTTTCATTACGGTAAAGTGACTTATGCCACTTTTGAAATAAACGACTCATATGTATATGTTCAAATAGACTGATTAATAAGAAACGAGAATTGCTATTTTCAATGCTTGCCACGAACTCTCCATCAACGATATAGTAATTCCCGTTTGATTCGTGTGGCAGAATTCAGCGGTGACGATTTAGTGTCGCAAGCTGCTGGTTTCTTTACCGCTGGTTTCGAAACTTCATCCACCACCATGTCCTTCACTTTGTACGAGGTTGCTGTAAATATGGATATACAAAAGACTCTGAGAAAGGAGATCCTCGAAGCACTTCAGGAGAACGATGGAAAAATCACATACGACATGGTATGTATGAAAAACTTCAAAATATACTATTGAATTCATTCGAAAAAGTAACATAACTTAGAGAGCAGCGACGAACTTTGTATTTTACTTGAAATTACTTACATCACTACACATGTATTCACACTTCTTAGACACAAATGTCGTCTAACTGGTGGACGACGTGTACTTTGCGCAAGAAAGTTTCAGTCCTCCGCACAAATGCTATAAAAAGAAATTGATTAACCATTTAGGTACGGCAGAGTCTGATATGTACTCTACAGAGCCTGATACTGTATATTCTGTCTGTATATTCAGGGTGTCCCAAAAATGTCTCGCAATCCGAAAGTGGCGGGTTCCTCGGGCCATTCAAAGCAACTTTTTCCTTTATAAAAATTTTCTCCGAGGCACCGTTAACGAGTTATTAACGAAAAACAGTGACCAATGAGAGGCGAGCTCGGCTGGCGCGAGGCAATCGAGCCAATGAGCGGAACTGGGCTTCGCGCGCAGGTTGGCTGGGCCGCCTCGCGTCAGCCGTACTCGATTCTTATTGGTCACTGTTTTTCGTTGATAACTCGTTAACGGTGCCTCGGAGAACATTTTTGTAAAGGAAGAAGTTGCTTCAAATGATCCGAGGAACCCGCCATTTCCGGATTGCGAGACATTTTTGTGACACCCTGTAGACTGTTGTAAATCGATGTGAAGACAAAAAGAGTGTGAAACAATGCATATGAAGACGACTATTTGGTTCACACGATGAGCGAGTGAGCTACTAGAGCAAGCCACTATAGTGGCGCGTCGTCCAGAGAGATAACATCCGCGAAAGCCACTATAGTGGCGCGTCGTGCCTAAAAGGTTAAACATTAAATTTCATTTCATGTTCCACGGTAGTGGTCGATGGTATCAGTGATGGAATACCACCAGGTTTCTGAAACTTTTCGAGCTCATCGAAATGGTACCGAATGGCTCCTACTTCTTTCCGAATAGTTTTTAAAGTTTAATGCTACATTGAATCTATAATAATTCATTAAAATACGTTCTACGGTTTTTCCTAAATTGAGTGGAATAGAATTCGAAGGGCTTCCTAAACTTTTGTAATTCCGTCCCTGAATGAACCATTGTATAGTGGACTCTGTTATTTGTATACGGCTTTCTTTATACATCGCGCATAAGCAAATGAAACATGTATTTCTTGCAGATTATGACATAAAACATTTCTAAATTTTCGTAATTCCGTCCCTGAATAAAATGATAAATAATTGAGCATTTCAATAAGAACATTTCCTCTACCACTGTATAATAATACCATTAAAACATGTATTTCTTACAGGTCATGACATTACCATATCTCGATATGGTTGTCTCCGAAACCATGCGCAAGTATCCACCATTGGCATTTCTGGATCGGGTAGCAGGTGCCGACTATAAGGTCCCGAATTCTGATTTGGTGCTGAAGAAAGGCACGCCGGTCTACATTTCTATGTTGGGGTTGCATACCGATCCAGAATACTTCCCAGATCCAGAAAAATACGATCCGACGAGATTCAACGAAGAGAACAAACAGAAGAGGACACCTTTCACTTACTTCCCTTTCGGCGACGGACCGCGCATATGTATCGGTCAGTAACTTATTCCTAGACTGGCGATTTTATGCATTTACGACCGAACGATTCGAAATCGAAACAGTAAATGCAGAGGATAAATCTAACAACGCTGGTCGATTATTTACAAATTATTAAATATCTTAAGAATGAAAGTAAAGGTTCATTTAACTCCTGCTTGTTGTAACCGTGATAGAACATTTTTATATTTTGCGTAAAGATCCACGGTCTACGAGTTGCGCTATTGGCATTATCGTGCTGCTGAAAGTTGTCGATTGGCGTTCAGTCATCAACGAAACTAACGAACTCGATATCGATCGTGTTTCTAATATTTTCTACCAGTGCTCCGGTGCAGTATTAAATAACTACTATATGTTTCAGGAATGCGATTGGGTCTTATGCAATCGAAGCTTGGATTGGTCCAATTGCTGAGCAAGTACGAGGTGTTACCTTGCGAGGACACACCTATACCTTTGGTTCTAGATACAAAAGGATTCACCACCACGTCATTAGGAGGATTGCCGTTGCGTGTTCGAAAGCTCACCGCAAAAGAAACTGGTTAACACGTTCAGAACAGCGACGGTCATATATGGATGATACTAATTTTTAACTAGGATCTGAAATTCACTTTTACTGTGATATATAGTCGATCAAAGTGGACGTCAGTCAATAGTTATTATGGTAAATTCTAACTGTCTAGTTTCGGTTTCATTAATTGTATGTAATTGTATGATATTGCGAGAATTTTTATGGTTGATGTCCATCGCGCGAGGTGTTGAACCACGTACGAGTGTTTTAACAAACTTTTGATTTTACTGAACAATAAAGTGAATTACAAAGTTTACGTCAATTGAGTTTCGCCTATACATTGTATCATTCGCAAAATATAAACGAAGCGAAGCCTTACGTCCAATACGTGCATTAAATTTCCATCACAGTTGTACATACTATTCGAACTCTTCAATGATCTAATACTCTTTACCAGAGTATAATTGAACATAGTTTAATAGTTTAGGCTAGTTGCAGATATATTTAATTCTAAGTATAACGTTACCATTAAATATATGTCGATTGGTAATTCTAATACTGGAAATAAAAAATTAATTATCCGTAGGAACACTTTGTACTGATTTAATCACAAAATGTATAATGTTTGTGAACGCTGTCTCGGACGGAGACAACTGCGGTAGAAGAATAGACGGCAACTAAATAGTTCACAAAGATGAACAAATTTCAACGTTGAAAAGTCGTGCTCAGGTTGCGCACAAAAATGGACAATTTGGGAAGAGATACGATTATTCGAACCCTGTGTTTCGTTTTTATAGTTATTGACTATCGGTGACTATAAAAACGAGCCGCAAAGTGGTTTAAATGATCGTATCTTCTCTTCCTAAATTGTCCATTTTTGTGCGCAATCTGATCGCAAATTAGGTAGAAATTGCAGTACTCTGTCACTACTTACTTACAGCAGCGATCATCTGTCTAGACAGATGATTATTATCAGATGATTATCATATTATTTTCTGAAATGTATAGTAGTGCGATATGATCTGGATTTGTAATCACTCGAGAGATGGATTAGTTCGAGAGGCATATTAGTTGAGGCGTGAAAAACGAGTAGCGTGTAAACCATTGAACCCGGGAATCTTTTCTGAGTACCTCTACTATGTCCTCTTAATTAAATCTTTTATAAATATTAAATATTTGTTACTAATATTATTAAATATTAGTGATATAATTAGTATATTATTAGTATAGTAGTAGTATATATTATTAGTATATTATTAGTATAGTAGTAGTATATATTATTAGTATATTATTAGTATAGTAGTAGTATATATTATTAGTATATTATTAGTATAGTATATAAACAGTATATATAATTAATATTATTAAATATTTGTTACTTGTTACTCAGTTCTTTAGTATCCTCAGTCGACTATAACTTGTTATGGCATTTATATATACATATTTCTACAGTTTTATAAAAATAAAGGTTGTAACTTTATTACAACGAAGAAGTAGCTCGCGTGTACCTGGATATGCGAAATCTGCAACAACAATTGTATTCTTCGGTAATGATAGCGAAATGTGGACAGCTCATCGATTTTAATTACCGTGCAATATTGTCCAGTTAGGTCTTAATTGAGTCTGTGGCTGTGGATGGAGGAATAGGACATCAACGCTTACGACATACAAACAACGCACTAATACTTGCAACATACAATTATAGAACATGAAGTAACTGTTTGCATAAATATAACCATTAACGATAAATAACAAAGATAATTCAATACTCCGCAGTTGACAACATATTTCAAGAATATCAAAATCGGCAAGTTGTCCTGTTTTAGGATATAATGGCTTTGCTCTGTTTTCGATCATGATTAACTTTATATCTATCGGATAAGATGTATTCAATTTTTGTATTTATCTAATTTGTTTATTGTTTTAAAATAAAAAAGATCAGTACGTTTTATTAGATAATAATATGAAATTAATTATGTCAAATCGAAGGCACAGCAATTGGTCACCCCACAGTAACCTGTCCCACTATCCTATCCTGTTATCTTCTGTTTAACAATAAATAATGTAATACCCAACGACTGTATTTGTTATTTCGAAGTTTTCATAATAAATATGATTAAAGTTTTCGGATTTCGAGCGATTTTATCTCTTCGGAGTCACCCTTTCAGCTAAACACGAATGTAAATGAAACGCTGCTCGTGATAGACGTAATAGTGACGTAACATAAGATTGACTATTCCGAACGTTTGTCAACAAATTAACGGAGGAGATACTAATCTAAATGCACTTACGAGATCGTAATTCGCGTTATCGGATCAAATTGTTTTAACTGTTGCCGAATAATGCAACTGAAGATCTGCAGATCCTGGGAGAACGTGATCACTACTCTTTCAATTTGTGCCGCCGAATCGTGCAGATTCTTTCACTGTATCTGTTGGAACCTGTACGAATTAAAGATCTATATTAGCACTTTACCTGTTGATCGGCTTTTTGTGTTCAACGCTTACCGACCGGTAGCCTATAACTCGGCTTTTTACCTCGGCCAGTAGCTTGCGCTTCGATTATCACGGCAACCAATAATTTGTTATCTATTATTGAGATAAAAGTGTTCGATTGTACATATTATATATATTATTATATATATTATATAATATTATATATAATAATATACATATAATATAATTTTATAATATAATATTATTATACAACTTTTTAAATATTAGATACCACGAGCCACGTGACTCGAATAATCGTATCTCCTTTTCTCATATTGTCCATTTCCGTTTCCAAGCTGAGGGACAATAGGAGAGAATTTACTGTATTTTGAAATCGGTTTTATTTGAATTTTCTGATTGTGCTCTGATTATCCCTTGCATTATCTCAAAGAGATTGGACAGACAATGATCGTTGACTCTCTCACGTCTATGCGATTTCCAGCCAATATTGTTTATCTTTCAATTAATAATCGTTCCAAGGTTTTTCTTGTTAGTCAGTCCTCTTGCTATTTACTAATGAGATACTTATCGACCATGCAGACATTGTGTGCAAATTTTGTGCGTGTGTGTGTGTGTGTGTGTTTACTAGATTAACACTTGTATTAACTCAGCTATAAATACCTGGCGAAAACATGTTCGATCAGTCACTAATAGGTGGATAAGAAGATAATACCTGTTACTTTCTCTGGTGAGTGTTATATTGTATCTATGGCAACGGATTGTTATAATATTATATATATTATATATAATATATAATAATAATTATAATATATAATTATAATATAATTATTATATATACAATTATAATAATTATATTATATATAATAATATTATAACAATCCGTTATATCCGTTGTATTGTAATATAATTCGATATAAGATATATATATATATATATATATATAATTCGATTGAATGCAGTGCTGGTTTCTATAAATGTCAATTTTTATTAAACAGTTTGAAAAATTTCAAATCGATTTTGCTGCGTTTAAAATTGTTTTATTTAATAATGCATATAATATAATCATAATAAAATTTATACCAATACTTATAAT